GAGCGTGCCCGCTGCGGGCGAACGTTTTCAGCGATGACGATAATGATGATGTTACTGTTATTATTACTACTTTCGATTCGCATGAAAATAAATTCGCAGGAATTACCCCGCGAAAATGAGCAGCGCCGGCCTAATCACCTTCCGCCGGCGTCGATTGTTCGCGGGGATGGAAGAGAGAAGAGAGAGAAGGAAGGGGTAAAAAAAGAAGGAAGAGATGGAAACGATTGCAAAACCATCGAAGCGCTCGCGATGTAACGCGAGAATTGCACCGTCCTCGATTTCACATCCCTTCACCGCGCTCAAAGACACGAAATATTCCGTCGGTGGTGACTCGTGGCGAGAGCTACGGTATCGCTGCGGTTATGGATTTCAATTTACCGGTCCCGGGTTAGATCGACACGCGTACCGTCGACGCTCACGATCGATTCTGTCCACTCGGTCGGTTCCTACCGAAACCAGCAATAACCGGGCATGAAGCATAAATATAAAATTTCAGGGCATTCCATTTCGCGGTGGTCGAAAAGCTCCCGCCTCCTCGCCTTTTCCGTTTTCCGCCTTCTCCATTCCACAGCTATTCTCCGCCATGGAAAATCTTTCGTCGTTGCCAGATTGCCCAAGAGAGAGAGAGAGAGAGAGAGAAAGCTCGCGTTCGCGTATCTCGATTTACCTTCCGCCGTGGTCGGAAGAAGCTTTGTTAACGCGACGTAAACACTTTTTAATTGCTCTCTAAAGCTATAACGCCGAACCGCAAAGCCGGGAGATTCCCACTTTTTCGCGCGTAACTCTTACGCCGTGCAAGGGACAGAGGGAAGCGTCCTCGAATGAAAGTTCCGAGGCTCGCCTCCAGACGGGGTAAGTGCTCGCAAAAAACGCGTTCAAAGTCGACGGTTCGCCTTCTCTCGGCGGGTATTTTATTGTCGCTCGTCAAGTTCGAGCTCTTGCTACGAGCCACATAACAAACATTTAATATCCCCCGTGATATATTTCAGGAGCGAGATTCGGCAGGACCTTTAACCGGAACAATTATTACTATTATCCGAAGAAGAACGCCAAAACCGACATACCATTTTGTTTTTCGGCTCTGAAGCCCCGTTGACGGTGTAAGATCAAAATTTATGTTTACATGGGTGCGAAGTAGGAACACTTCTCTATTAAAATATGCGATAACCTTTATGAAAATAACTATAGATTTCCTTGCAAATAACTGTCTTTTAAGATGTTCGAGATATTTGAGACGTTTGACGCTTCCAGAAACTGGGAGGCCCGAAACCGGCATATTTTCATGCACGAAAAATCAAATAGAAGCGCTGAAATTATATTATTTTGCACATTTATTATAAATCCTTAAATTTATGTTATAACAACTTGCAAACAAAAATTGCCACTTCAGCTCCAACTTCTATACACAGTGGACGAAGCTCACGTACTATCGGGCAAAGTTCAGCATTTTACAATCGAGGAACACGGATATGTCGGTTTACCGTAACTATATCAGTTTCGATGTCTCTACTTTATTAATGTCATCATCGCGAGCGACCGATAAAACGTTATCAAAACGACGAAGAGGCTAACCTCGGCGGGAATCGACAGAAGAGATTCACGTTAATACGCTCGGCACTCCAGACCTGAGCTCGTGTTATCCCTTCATTTTTTCCAACCACGATTCGCCCTCCCAGCTATTCTTCTCCATCTCCTCTCTCTCTCTCTCTCTCTCTCTTTCTCCCTTTCGAAGATCCTCCATCATGGTAGACGACTGGTGCGAACCGTGATTACGGGTTTCGAGTCTCGCCCGCGGATTTTACGACCCCATTGCGAGTCACACCCCTCGCGGGCCTCGCGGAACCTCGCGTCGCATTCCCAACCTTCCGAAGTTCCTTCTCTCCTCTCTCTCTCTCTCGCTCACTCACTCATTCCCCTTTTTCGACCCACCACCCACTCGAGCCCGAAAGTCGGGAGGAGCGGAGGCAACGCGCGGCATACGAACCGCGTGGAAATAAATAAATGCCCGGGGTGGCCGCCGACGGTGGAGCAACGATAGAGGGGATGAATGCGTGAGAGAGAGAGAGAGAGAGAGGGGGGGGTTGAGAGGGGTGGCTGACGAATATCAGGGCCGTAGCTGCGAACACCGCACCGTCGTATCGATCCTTTCCCTCGCCGAACGCACCTGCACCGATCGTCCCCGAGTGTGCTCGATGATTTGTATCCTTTCCCTCAGCCTTCTTTTTTTCGCGTAAGCGCGCGCGCGCGTTCGATCCGATCCTCCTTCAATTTTGCAATTACTCTACGTTTGTCGGAGGTGAGACTCGAGATAATGGCGAAGGATGAGTTGATTCTACATTGATTCTACGCGACGGGATCGACGGAACAATTTAGAGAGAAACGCAATCTCCGTGTCTCTCCGCTTTTACCTGAACGGAGGAGAGACGCGCTACGTTCGTCCAAATAATTCGCAACGAAGCGTCTCGCGAGCTTAACATGTTGACGAATGGTATTGGCGCGCGCAAAGTACTAGGAGAATATCTTGGAAGAAAGGCGGCGGCCGCTCAGACGGGAATTCACTCGCGCCTTTTGTTATTGCAAACACCCAGTCAAAATTTGCGTTAGCAGCGGAGCTTCGAAGGGGTCGCTATTTACCCCACAGTCGGTAACCCAACATTTAACCGCCTCTCCTTCCCTCCCTCTAACTCTCGCTCTCACTCTCTCTCCCTCTTTCCCTCCATAAAGAGATAAAAAAAACTCACTCCAATTAGACGAATCAACACCGTGAGTCAACTTCGGGAAACGATAACAGTCTTGCCCCATTACAGGCTTTCGCTAAAATTCCCTTTGTTATTACCCCGGCAAATCCCTACGAAAATATTTCTCCGTGTTAAATTACTTTCGCGACGCGCGTCAAGTCCCGGCCGTTTATCCCTCCTCTTAATTACGTCTCGCTAACCGCCTAATTAAGTGCGTTGAATTGATGTCGCGATTATGCGTGCCGCCGTGAAACGCGATATTTAATTCTTTTCGTTGTATTCTTATTTGATCCCCGCGCCGTTCGAAAATACGGAGAGAGAGAGAGAGAGAGAGAGGACGCGACGCGCAGCGCGCATCCAGCGTGCATGCGAACATTACATTAACAAGCGGACGAATGAATTATTGACAAAATTCACCGCCGCTAATTAATGCGCGACGTAAATCAGAATTACGAGACTATTAGTTTAAGCGGTTTCGGGTTTACCGTCGCGCACGCGCACCGTAATATAAAGGAAACCCGAGCGGAGTTATACATCTGATATTAAACGAGGAATACTTCTGCGGCCGGTGCCGCGATGAAACGTGAAATTAATCGGTGACGCGCGAATCGCATCGAGCACGCGCAGTGCGCGATCGCGGTGTCGTATCGGAGAGGCCGGACAAAGACGTTACGCGATACGCCAAGAAACGGCGCGATAATTGAGCAACGGCGGCCACATGGCGGAAATTCATAATCGTGGAATTTCAACCGGAATTATCTCGACCTGGAGCCAACGTTCTCCGCCGTACGAGAACGGCCGTAAAGTATATAAAATCGCCATGAATACTAATTATTCAATCAGTTTGCTCATTTAAGTTTACATATAATCGCCGTAATAGGATATAATTTATTAAGCGCGCGATATAACGCGTTTGCCCGCACACGTTGCCGCTAATCATAGAGAGAAAGAGAGAGAGAGAGAGAGAGAGAGAGAGTAAGGCTAATGATAGAAAATTCACCGCGCACCCCGCGTCCGAAAAGGAATTTTGTGACGCGTTCCATTCGCTGGAGGAACAATGAAAAAATTCGTCCGCGCGGGAGAAAGAGGAAAAAATCGTAAAAATACGTCCGTCATTTCTACCGTGTAATTTTCACCATCATGTTTGGATCAAACGTCCTTCCCGTATCGGGCGCGCGCGCGCGCGTCTGTTCCCGCGCGCTCGTTTCTCGAAAATGGATTCCTATACTGCAACCTATCCCCCCGCCCTTCACCGAGTTCAAAAATACACCCCGTCGTTCCCTTTTGCTCCTCTCGTTTTCAGTCGGTGGACCCCACGCACAGGGAAACGAACGAGGCACGAGGGACTCCTCCGGATTTCGATTATCGTCGATAACTCGGCTGGATGTATCCCTTCCATACTAGCAGTAGTTTCCGGAAATTCGCCTCACCCTCGGGATTATCCCGCCCCGGGAATTCCTATCTCGCCACCGACGTTGCGTTCTCTCCGATTCCTGTCTCTCTCTTCCTCTCTCTCTCTCTCTCTCTCTCTCACTATTTCTCTATCTATCTCTCTCTCTCTCTCTCTATCTCTGTCTCTCGCATCCCTACGCCGAATATGCTCCTTCTCTTTTATTCTTATCCTTTCACCCTTGTCTTCGGATCCACGTTCGATTTGTCCTGAATTACTTCATTGGGTTCATATTACGCACCTCCGTTCTTTGCTCGCGGCGGAAAAAAGGAAAGCGAATCAAAAACGTATGTTTACACGTATACTTGTTCAAGATTTATGTTTTGGCGAGAATTTTAATAATGAACGTAATCGCTACTGCACAGAGAAGAAGATTTCTGTGGATTTAATAAAATTTCTTTAATTGAAACGAATTTGACTCTTGAAATAGAGCGAACAAATGAACGTTTAATTCAACGAACAGAATTATTTGATTTCTCAAGCAATAAAAAAAAATATATATATATATCTTTAGTCAAATAACTTATAGCATTAAAAGACAATAGCCTGTATAGTGCTACATTAAAAAAAATATCTATATATTATAAAAATTCAAGTCGTGAAACAACCTAAGATCGGGAATCAAAAAGTTCGTACGTGTGATTAAAATAAAGTTTCGAGAATTACTTACATTGAACGTAAATACTTAATAATCATTAAATATTAATTTAATATTTCGACGCAAAAAATACGTATAGCGCGGAACGCTAAAAACGCGTGTTTCATTTGACGCGCAACATGTTCTCACACAGATCTGCTTCTTGTCGTTTCAGAATGCTCGTTCCCAGCGAGGTGGGAAGGCACGTGGTTCCAAAGTGGCGTGAGGCAGTCGATAGTGATATCCAAGAACGAGTTATCCAGCAAGGGCAGGTGCTTGCACAACGAAGGCGACAAGTTTCTTTTAGTAGATCAGTAAGTAATTTGATAGTCACGCTTTTTACCATTTTACGAGCGAATTCAGCACGCGACGACGCGCTTACAAAGAAGTATCGCGAATATACTGTATTTCAACTACGATATTACTTCCTCATCTTTAGTTTCTATTAAATATTTTGCCGTGATTAATTTTCTCCTATCGGAGCTCGAGTTTAGCTTCGAGCAAATATAGTGGGCCAAATTTAACTTTCAAAAATCGAGAATCAATAAGTCAAATGAGATAAGCCTATTATCGTAAAAAAAAAAAAAAAAAATAGTGCGAAATAAATCAATACTTAATTGCTTTGAGATTGGAATATATATTTGCAAATTTCGACCATCATTTGGGCCATTATCAATGCTAAATAACAACGTAAACTTACGACATACAAAGAGCTTTTTACCCTCAAAAAGGCAAAAATTCACGGATATTTGTGTGTCTTTTTTTTTACGTAGCTTCGAACGAGTCGCATCGTAATAAATAATCAGGCAATGGAGAATTAATACGTTTCCGATCGAATATTGGTCTCTTCAGATATCGCAACGAAGTTAAAAAAAGAAAGGGGAAACAAAACGGGGCGCTATGTCCATGGGTAGTATTTATTGATGCCATATTTATTTTAACCTCTTTGTGCGCCGCAAACAATTGCGGCGAGACAATTTTTACCCCGGAAATCCCTGTAGTGCTACATGTAGGATTCAGATAACATGTACCGTATCCATGTATCCAGCCGATCAAAGCCTTAGTTACTAAAGCTAATATGGCGGGATCGCTCGACCGAATAACCCGTATCCTCTTTCTATCTCGGCCGGCGGTTTATTCAATTTCGCGGAATTGCTGATATTGTTAAAAAACAAGGGGGGGGAGGGGGGGAAAGGAGGCGTATGCGGCGGTAAACTTCGGAAAAACCTTCTCGCGGTATTTCTCGCAGGGGATTTGCCTGTGCGAGGCGAAGCGGGAAAATAAATCCAAGTCGAAGAGCGCGCGCGCGTATCGCGATTTTTCAATTTATCACATCTAATTTCAAGCGAGCGCGATCCGTGACCGCGCGTGCTATGTTTCTCCACGCTCGTCCGGCCGAGAGAGATAAATTCTTAAAACGATTATCTTCGTACGCCACGAGTCGCGACTGTTCGTTTGATGAATTAATTTCGCCCTGTGTGAAACGACTGCACGTGGTATCATCTCTGACAACGATCTGTCGCGATGTAATCGAGCTCTCGAGCTGCCGAAAACGCTCACCGAACGCGGGAACGTAACGGGTCTACCGGCGGCGATCGAGGAGAGGCTCCGTTTCGCCGCGTAATGTTCGTGTCACATGCCGGCCGTCGAAGTTTCCCCCGAAGATTTCTATCAAAGCCGGCTGTACAGAGTGTCGGATCGATATACCACCGGGCTAGATAAAGAAGTCGGGGAAAAAACGAGTCGCGAGGCACGACAGCGAAAATTTAAACGTCACCGCACGCGCGCGCGCCTTTCCTCGAGACGCCACGGAGCGCTGAGAAATTGCGAGAAGCGAGGAACGAATTGATACGGACTGTTTAAGATAGTTTGAGATAGTTTAAGATAGTTGGTCCGTGGCGATACCGCTTAGATAAGTAACGGTTGGTACAACATGAAGAAACTCGACGAATCTGTGCTGAATGCTCGGAAAGCTGATTTATGATATAAAGTTTTGACACTGTAATCAAGAGAATATCAATCTCTAAGTAAATAAAGAGTTAGATTATTCGACTTATCAATACCAAAAGCTGCTAAAACAGTCAAAAGTATCAATATATAATCTTTTTCAAGTTATTTAATCATTTTATTTTTAAAAAAAGATGCCTTACCAAAAAGCACAGAAGAAAGCTTGTACAATATCACCAATGTTTACTGGTTGTCACACTTCGTGACAACCATGCTTCAGTCGTTATCGCAAATTACGTAACGAAATTTCATAAAATTATTAATCGTAATCAGAAATGTACAACCATGCTTCAGTCGTTATCAGAAATTACGTAAGGAAATTTCATAAAATTACTCGTCGCAATCAGAAAGTATACTTCATACATATGAATTTCTGAGAAACTAAACGGTCGATACAGTGATACTGTAATATTTTTATAATACTTCTACAAGTCTCTTTTATCAACTTCTCATTTTTTATTAAAACCGTGAGAGCAGTTCGGTCGTTAGAATTAAACACGCGATATCGGAAGCCGTTTTCGTACCTGCGATATATGTAAATAAGTTCGACTTCAATTACCTCAGCTTCGGTACGGTCGACCTTTTTTCTAATTGTACGTGTAGATCGTATTTCGATTAACATGCTGCTGAAACATGAAAAGATCCTTAAGGAAATAGATCCACGAAGTACCTTAATCGTTCGCAGAGGAGTAATAGCGAAGGGTAGTTCTTCCGGTTCGAAACTTCCGCCTCTTCGCTGCGGTCGTCTCGGATAATATACGTGAGGAGAGATTATGCGCGAATCTTTCCCACGGGACAAAACGGCTTAAACGAGCTCGCTACTGACTGACATTGATTGACTGAACTGACATTCCTGTGCGTCATTCGGCGCGTTACTTGCGTGTCGCTCGAGTTGATCCTTTTAATTACGAAACTTCAACGCCGGCACGCACTGACGTGGCGGTAATATTTTCCGACGGGTGGAACGCGTGCAGGAACGCGAATCGCAGCGGAACTCTTCGCCACTCCATATTGCAATGCCACTACGTCTTGTTGTTTCAGGAAGTCATGCTACCGCTGCGTCGTCATTCACGAGAAGCACTCCAACGTNAAAGAGAGTAAGTAGACAAAAAAAAAAAAAAAATAAGTACGAGGCGCGGAGCGTACTCGTCGTCGACGTTGTCGTCGTTATTTCGCCGGATTGATAACGATTTGCCGCTGGCCCTTCGAGACTCATTCGTTCATTAGGATGCCGATCGTTAATTAAAAGCTCGACGATGACGGCAGGAAGAAGAGGAGGAGGAGGAGGAGATGGTGGTGAAGTGATGGAGGAGAGAGAGAGGGAGAGAGAGAGAGAAGATGCACCGAGTGAGTTGTGGCACGACTTGAAATTATTCTTAGACGGCGAACTTAACGATTTTCTTCGTCGCTCCGAGCTCGGCACGTCTCGGGGCGGACGCGCGACGTGTCGGCGAAGCTGCGTTACGAAAACGGTTTCGCTAATTCCGCTCCGCGGACTGCCAATCTCGTTTACGGTGTAAAGGAGATCGAGAATACCTCGCAGCGTTTTGCGGATACTCGTACTCCTATCCACCTCGTTAATGCGCTCATCCGAATGGAAAGAGAGAGAGAAAGAGAGAGAGGAGGGAGAATTAGTCGAAACAGTATAATAATTCCTAACAAAATGCTACCGTATTTCGTACTCTGCATATCCGTGGATTAAATGTACCGCGTTCGCTTCCGGTTAGCAACTCCCGATGCCAACGTAAATCCCAGTTCGCAGATCCCCCGCCGCTACGTGTTCAGTGAAGTGGCGGGATAATTGTTTAACCGATTTCGTCAATTCGACTACTTTTTCTTTTCGGTGTGCCACGCATTAAACGTGCGTAATTGCGAGTCATTTCGTACAACCAACCGACAGCAATCCGCTACTATAAAGAAGAATACGCTCCTTTATTAATCTTCTATTAATAAAGTGAGATATTAAAAGCTTCGTGGTAACTAACCCGCGTGACTTCTAGCCCCGGCCTCCCCCCCACCGGCTCCGACGATCCCTCCGGTCGGCGAGAAGAGCTCTCGCTCATTACGAGAGTCGCCGTGCGACCGCGCGCGAGTTATAATTATAATCCGGAGATTGCGGAAATAGTTCGAATAACTCGGACGTGCAACGACTACTTAGAGTCGGCGGGCAGTTTTATCGAGTATCGAGCGCGACGATACAAGAGCACCGAGAAGAAGTAGCGGCCTGCTCCGGACTTTCGTCCATTCCGGATGGGCGATAGGGAGAGAGAAAGAGAGTGAAAAAGAGAGAGAGAGAGAGAGAGAAGAAGAGAGAGAGAGAGAGAGCGCGGACCGCTATGTCCGTCGACTCGCAGCTCGACGGAGGAGAGAAAAAAGCCGTAGGTCAACATGTACGAACGGAAAAAGCGCGCGACAGCGTCCGCTCGCGCGCACGCCGGATCCGCCTCCTGCGTCTCTCGCGTCGGCATTTTTCGACGATTTGTCAAAGTCCCCCGTTTTTCTTCTCTCCTCTTCGTTTTATCGGGCTTTAATCTGCATAGTGTCACGCCGCGGGCACCGTCGCTCGCAGGCTGCCTTCGTTGAGCACAGTTTGTCGCCGGGAAAAATGAGGGAGCGAGGCCAGCGAGCGCGCGTGCTCGCTCGCTCGCTCTCTCTCTCTCTCTCTCTCCCCCCGTTATCCTCCAGACGCGAATCCAAATGACTCCTGGTTGCGAGCGTTCAAAGAAACGTTTAATGTTTAGCGAAACGTCGCGCGGAGCGAATACAATATTTCCAAAGACGACGTATACTTTATTAAGAAAACGCGATTGGGAAGACAAACAACGCCGCCGTGTCGCCGGAAAGTCGGAAACTCCGGCGGCGCGTGTCTGTCTCGCGCACCGACAGCGATCAGACTTTCGGCATTAAATAAATATTGAATAAATATTGAATAAATACGGGATAAATATCGAATAAATATTGAATAAATTTGCTGGCGCATAAAGTTGAGCAAACATCGCGCCGCACGCACGGTTTGCAATATCGCGTATTAAACACCTGGTATCGCTCTTTTTCCCGAATGATGATTCCCGTGAATTCAACGTTAAGGCCCGTACAGAACGTCGTCCTGTACGGCACTGCGGGCGTTCCTCCTGATCACGAAATCACGCAAGGTGATTTCTCTTCCGTAATTTTGGCGTAATTTCTAAAGTTCGCGGTTTTCCGCGAGAGCCCTCTAAAATAGCCGTCCTGCAAATCCTTGACGGTAAAATTGGGCGCCTCCGCGCCGAAACCGTCGTTAACACGCGTTCATATGAACTTTTTTCATCACCGAGCCTGAACAGCGTACGCGTTTTACGAGGGGGGGGGGGGGNGGGGGGGGGGGGGAGGGGCAGACCGGAGGGAGGCGATTTATACGCGCAGGAAATATTTGAATTAGAAGAGGGGAAGAGCGCTTTAAGCGGTCGGCGAGCGCGCTCGGACGCCGCCAATAAAGAGAGGTAGACCGAAGACAAAAGTCTTTTGCTCGATTTTTCGCCGGTCGCGGGTAACACCTGCGTGCAGAAAAGTTAAGTCTCTTTGCGAGAGACGAAGTCTTTCGCGGGGGAGTGCCTGCGCTCTTTCCGCGGCGCGCCGAGAAAGAAATCGAGGGAAATATCCTAAGGTTAAACTTCCACCGCGGCTATGAACTTGCTACTCAGGAAGATTCGTCATCATCCAACTCGACCTTCTCTCTCTCTCTCTCTCTCTCTCTTCTTCATTCCGCCGACGCGCACGACGACTCGTCTCGCCGCCCCCGCCGTCGACGATATATAAGAACTTTTCGTTAGCCGGCAAAATTTTTATTAACGCCGCGATCCCTCCCCCGGGGGGAAAGTCTCGTAAAAGGAAATGTAACTGCGATTATCGTCGGCTCGCTCGAGAAATGACGCGCGCGCTTGGCGGAAGATTCGCGCGGAACTTTTCCGAAGGGGTCGAGGCAGCGACGACGGCGGCAGGCTTGCCGAAGCTTCGCTTCATACCGCCGCGCGAGTGACGCGTTATCGCCGACGGATGCACGTCACGAAACGAAATCCGATAACGGCGTTATCGCGCCCCGGAAAATTGGACTTTTTACGATGTCGCGGGATTTCTAATCGCGTTTATCGTTCGAGTGATAATAACTATATTCTGTATTCATGTCAATCCCGTGGATCTTCTTCTTTTTTTTTCTTTTTTGCCAAGTCATCCCAGTCGGAAATGAAACGATCGGGGGAAGTTTCCAGTGAGTTGGGGGGAAACTGATTATCGCCAATTGGAGCGTTCAAACCGATCTGGAAGGTTGCTTTCTGGACGTTTGTTCGTCGTTTTACACTGCGTTTATCAATTGAAAGCTTCCCACAAGTTTCCCGAAAGTCTGGAGTGTAGTTCAGCAGAAAAATGTTTTGCATTTATGCGCATAGACTCTGCGCCTTCCTCAACAGGGTTTAAAGCCCAAAAACAAAACGGCATATCTCGGTGCTTTCCCTCTATTATTATTATTCGCCATTATTATTTTGTTACTATTATTATCACAAGTCAATAAGGGGACTTAAATTTGGCAGCAAGCGGCAGTTGCACGATAGAAATCGTCTCGCGAATTCGCCGGTACGACGACAACGGCGCGAAGCACGACACGCTCCTCGCACTAATGTCGGCGAAACGCTGCGTGTGCCACGTGCGCACTTAATCTCAATTAATTTCCTATTGCAGCTTTTTGCCACAATAGAAACAGCCTGGCGTCTCTCTGCTCGTATATTACGGGGGATGCGTTGCTGTACTCTATGTTCCGCGAGGAGGCACCGCCCGTGGCGTGCCCTTTTCGCGGACCCATGACCTTCTCGTACAATCGAGGCCACGGTACGTGCTCGAACCCGCCGAGCAACATCGACACCTGCACAGACGATAGCAGGCTCCTCTTCAAGTATCAGGCCTGTCCGGACGTATCCGCCTCGGAGAGCGCAGGTAAGACGCACCTCTTTGCACATTTCTACGCGGAAGATCTTTGTTCGACAAAAAAAAAGCGAGAATGGAAACGAAAGAGAGAGAGAGAGAGAGAGAGAGAGAGAAAAAGTGGAAAACGCTGCGACACTACGCGTATCAAAGAAGCGCCGAAAGAGTATTTTGAATACGTCCGGTGTCCATTTTATTCTTTTGCTTTCTCTCTCTCTCTTTCTCTCTCCCTCGCTCTCTCGCGATTTTATTCTTTTCCTCGAACAGTACGCGCACTCTCTGACAAATTTAGTAGAATTTACGCCGAGTTTATCAAAGAGCGAGCGGGTACGCGCGTGAAAATGAGGAAAAAAGGAAGAGAGAGAGAGAGAGAGAGAGAGAAAGAATTATAGGATATCGAGGTACCAAAAGTTCTCCCGTTGCGCGCTCGATATCGCTAATGATCGAAAATCTAGAGATTTGCAGAAATAACGTTCACACTTGTCGGGCGCGCGAGTAAATTCTCGGCGGAATTTACGGCGTGTAGTTTATATAGCGCGCGTTCGCGAAGCAGCCGGGGAGCGTCGCGCTTTCGAAATATTTATCATGATATTGTAAATTATGCAGATACAATGCGCAATTATATAGATTTTATCGCGTATTATGTAAATACGATTCTTTCGTGACCTGCACGTTCTTTGGTGACGCGTATTGTATTGCGTTCCACATAATTTGCAATAATTCGCGCAATAAACGTTAGGACGTGTGCGGAATTCCTCGCCGCGTTTTATACACCGCGCGTTCTCCCTCTCCCCCCTCCCTCTCTCTCTCTCTCTCTCTCTCTTTCTGTCTCTGTCTCGCGTTATTTGCATCGCAACGTATGCGCGTTCATTTTCCATTATCGTAAATTTATAAAACAAAATATTCACGCGTGGGCGAGATTCATTCCGGACCGGCGATTCGTGGAATCTTCGGAAGGCTTCGACCCACCCCCGTCCTTCCAGCCGGTTATTAATTGTCGCGGCTTAATAGCGTGATAGAGTAGCTTATTAACGTGATTGGTATTTCATGCGAACGGCCAGTCAGTCAGTGACTCTGATAACCGTCCGCCGTCAGTTTGTATATCTTGCGCGCTTCAATTAAACACTCGTTACGATGGGTTCGCATTTAATAGCGCGGCGCAGCGAGATTAAATTTGTAGTCAATACGAAGAGCAAGGGAGGAGGGAAAGGGAGAGGAGAGAGTGAGAGAGAGAGAGGGGGAGGGGGTTTATGTGTCTACTTTTGGCCGACGTGTGTTCAATTTAATATTGCGGTATAATCGATGCCGTCGATAATCCGTTTCGAAGCTACCGTAGCGTTATCAATTATACCAAGTTACATTGCAAAATGTGCGGACGGCGTCTAAATATTCATCAACCGCACGACATCGATTCCGCCGGACTGCTGTTAAGACCGCCAACTGTGTGTGATGGCCAGTAATAGAATAGAATATTCATTTCATGCGAACATGTTTCCCCCTCAGTTTGATCATTTGCGCCGAAAACTAGCGAAACGCCACTTGCGCGCGCTCGTTCGCGAATATTTAAATTGCCCCGGAATCTGATGCGCGCGCGCGTCCGAGTCCAAATTTATCCATAAAATCGCCGCGTATGTGATGGTATTTGCAGAGAAAGAGAAAGAAAGAAAAAGAGAGAGAGAGAGAGAGAAAGAGGGAGAGAGAGAGAGAGAGAGAGTGTGATGTGTATATATTTATTATTTATATACGCTGCGCTCTTATTGAAATATAATATTTCGTTTTTCCCAACATTTTCTCACCAATTAAATATTTCGGAGGAAACGCGTGGCAATTGTCGGTAGCGGTATCTCACGGTAGACATCCGGTTTTAAGTAGTTGATCCGCAGAGTGCTGAATTTTTTTTGATTAAACAATCATAAATATAGTTTAGAAGAAATTAAGAAAGGAATTAAAAATACGATATTAATCTCAAGGAACACGGTTATAAAAAATGTCATCTTTAGCTGCAAATATCTCAGCTTCCGAATGGTCAATTGTTTTCTAACTTAACAGACATGTAAATAGTATTCCCATCAAATTGAAAGGAACCCCTAAGAAAATAGTCCGACGGACCAAGTATCTGGATTATAACTCTGCGATATTTCCGTAATCCCGATGACTCTGCGACAGATTAAAGAAGATCCCGTCTGTGCGCGTCGTGTAGATACAACGAACGATGCGAGTTGAAAGGACCCAAACGGCGCAGCGTTCCGGCTTTACATCTGCATTTTCTTCTATTTTCCTGGCCGTGTTCGGCGATCGGATTTACTTTCGATGCGCTTTGGTCCCGATGCGTTTTTCAACCAAAATGGACAGTTTCAGAACGGGATCTGACCGACGAATCGTACCTTTAACGAGCACTTTGCGGCGAAAAGCCGTTACGAGTCCGGTCGGGCGGCAGATTTTTCAGAATTAAATCGACGTACGGATATTACGGTCTCTTTCATCCGGGATCCCGCCATTCACGCGAGATAGGACATCGTCAGCGCCTTCCGTTTTCCCTATTTCGACAACCTGTTGAGAAACCGATTTATTGGTAGCGCGCGACGTATCGCTACCGCCGCCGCGGGATCGATAAATTTTGACTCGCGTTTGAACATTTCCGTAATTTGATGTAATAATTTAAGCGTTCCGCATAGAGAAATCGGTTTTATCGCTCAACTGGTGTTCCTGAATTTCGCGACACGTAATATTTTAACTGACGCTCAAACACGCGTCTCTNAAAAAAAAAAAAAAAAAAAAAAAAAATATGCGCACACACCCGGAAAACTATTCCAAGCTTGTAACGCGCACCCGGAACGTTGTTATCAATAGCAATTATTTCGCTGTTTCGGGAGACTCGGAATTCTCAAAATCAATCGATCACGCGTATGACGCGCGCCTCCTGCTGCTCCTCGCGAAAGTTCACACGTTCCTCTCGACATTGCTCGTCCGCAGCAGCGTCGCTCGAGCGATCTTCGGGAAAAATCCTCGCGAGATACTCTTTGACGAACACGCGGATGAACAAGGGTAAACGCACGAGGATGGAGGGATGGGGAAGGGCGAAGGTGTATAGCGCGAAGTCCAGGAATGGGTTTTCTTTTTCGTGCGGCACATCTCAAATTACTCGGAGATCAAAAAACTCTTCCGAGCGGCCGAGCGAGAGGATAAAAGGGCAAGAAAGAAAGAGAGAGCGGGCGCGCCGTCGCCGTGGCGGTGAAAGAGCGAACCGCGGGAAAGAGTCGCCCGGAAAAAGAGGAAGGCGGCCGACTCTCGCGCGAGATGTGATTTAGATACGCGTCGGGGGATCCCGCCGGCTCTCTGCTTCTCTCCGCTCCTCTTTCTTCCCGATTCGGGAGAAGCGGTGAGACCGGGGGNGGGGGGGGGGGGGGAGAGAAGGTGAGAAAGGGTGAAGCGGGCCGAAGTGCCGGAAGGCTCTAGGCGGCGGCCAGGGTGGCGATAACATCTCTCGCTCTCTTTGCGCGCTCTCTTTCGAGGTTCCCGGGCTCCGGTTCCGAAACGACCGATAATTGTCGGTCTCGTCGCCAAGGAGGAGAGATCTCGAGCGGCGACAGCCCGTAGAATCCCGGTATCGTTTTTCACGCGGAAATCTCCGGGCCCGAGAGCCCGAGTCGATCGCAAGCTCTCTCTCTCTCTCTCTCTTTCTCGCAAGCTCGCCCGTTCGCCGCGCGTCGTCAGGTCGCCTTCCTCGCTTCTTCCCGTTCATTCGTCTTCCTCCGGCCGCGTCCCTTGCCGCCCTCGTGAATAGCTGGCTCCCTTCCCAATGGTGCTTTAAAGAGCGCCCCGGGAAAGCGCCTTTACGACGCCGGCGAATATACATTTTTGCGGCGAACATAATGCCGCCGACGCGCACCTCCGCCGCCCTTCCCGGTCCGAAAGCCTCCGACATTAAGTACCTTTACGATCGGGCCGGAAATTAAATCTCAACTCGGCAAGGAGTGACTCACGCACGAAAAACCTACTTGTTATCCCCCGCGTTATTTAAAGTTCCGCGATTCGACACCTCACACCAGGTCGAGATCCTCTGCTCTTCGATGTTGAGGTAGTTGGTCCGCCGAGCTATTTTCTCCGAATCTTTCTCTATTTTAACCGCATATTGGTGGAAACGCCATTATCTACACGTCTGCAAAGTTGGAAAACGATTGACCATTCGGAAGAAATGATATTTGCAACTAAAGATGGTATTTTTTTTCACAGGTGTTCCTCGAGGTTAATGTTTTTATTCGTTTCTAATTTTTTCGAAATCGCGTTTAGAATTTCGCGAGATGAGATCGTAGAGATCACGAAAATACATCGAGGTCTAGTTTGTCATCATTAAACCGACTAATCATTAAACCGATGGTCTTGTAGTGGTAACTTTTAAAATGTAACGATTAATCACGAATAGAAAAATATCATTTACGTTATCGTCAAATTAAGGCTAAACTACGAGTAAAGCAGAAAATCAAAAATCCAAAACTGATGTTTCCGAATGCAGCCTTAGGTAGACTCCACGTGACTTGCTGCCGTCTGCGACCGATTTAACCGCGTTTTGCACGTGGATACAAACGAGAGCGTGCAAATCGCGGAAGTAAGGAGAGTACGCGATGCCGATTGAATTTGGTCAAAGTCTCGTTTCTCCTCGCGCATCTCGACGAGCTTTCCTATCCTCTTTCTTATTACGGCGAATGGCGCATAATACGGCGAAGACATCAAAGTCGGCAATGAACCGTAGCATCGGCGGAATTCAATCGGCGCAAGATGGAACTTTTACTTGCTCTTAATTCCTTCCGTGCGTTTGTGTTTTCGTACTTTCGAATGGACGCGAGTACGTTCGTCAAAAGCTCGCAGCTCCCGTTACTTTCGTTTCGTCGTTATAATTTCGGACGTTTCTCGTCCGAAACTATCTTGACGATCTACGAATGATGCAGGAACGATTGAAAGAATACACGAGTTAGACGTAACAATCGGTGTAGGTGTGTGTGTGATGCGGATTCGTAGCGTCTGAAGTTTATAGATTTTGAAACTAAATTCGGAAGCCCGTGACGTAACAACGTGATGCAATATTTCAGAAGGAGCAACGGTTCCCGTAATGCAATAAGTTGCAGTATTACGTAATATGACAGTAGAGAGAAAGAGACCAATAAAACGAGCAAGCTAGAGAGAGAGAGAGAAGAGGGAGAGAATGTATGCTAAGTAATATGATGATGAAAAGCGACAATTTATCTACGAGAACTATATAAATTCCTGCGAACATATATTTTTTTACGGCGCGTCTCTTTCTCCCTCTTTCTCTCTTTCGGCCGCTTCCCTGTCAATTACGAATTGCTAGGTACGTTTTCATTAAAATTGCACGGGACAAAAAAACTCTTCGGCGTCGAAGTGAAAATGGATATTGAAGTATGGCTGGCGGGCAACGATCAGTAATCGCGGCGGCTTTTTCCGCGCGGAAATCATGGCGGTCGTCCGTTTCTAACCGCCGGGCGTCCAGCTGCCACGCGGACGTTCCTCGCCGCTCTCTCTCTTTCTCTCTCTCTCTCTTTCTTTCCCATCGTTCGCCAGTGCTGCCGCTTTTTCTCATCCGTTTGCATTGGCTCCGTTCCTTCAATGGCGTTTTCAGGAGTGCTATCGAAATCCTTTTTACGTGACGGCGTTTCCAGCCGGAATGGTAGATAATGGGCATGCCGAAAGTGTCACCTCGACGACTCGCCGCGAATACGAGCATTAAGCTTCAGCCGTGAAGTATTATACCGATACCTCGAAACTAGAGCGATCGATATTATTCCGTTGTGAATAAACTCAGGGAGGAAAGGGCAAGAAAGCGAAGGAGGTCGCGAGGGGGACGCTTTCCGTCTCGGCGTCTTTCTGATTTTTCACTATTATTATAATGGGACCATCTATCTCTTAAGGGTATACTCGATAGCTTTGCCAGCAAAATACTGACTTCTCTCTGCAAAGTTTACGGTCGTATCGGCTGCACAGAATTATATAGTAAACTTAACAATTACAATCGTCAAAGTCATTCAATCGATTCTAGACTCAAAGTCATGAAATATTTCAGGTTAATTCCGGGTATTGCGTATCGGTTTATTTGCGCCGTTGCGCAACGGCGGGCTACTAAATAAATGATTCCATAAGTAATCGCTAGAAATCGTCATCTAATAGCGAAGATGTTAACGGGGGGCCATAATATCTACTTACCTAAAAGCCATAATATCTTCTCCTCCACATAAAAATGCTTTTACGCAGTAAAAATACGCGCGAAAATGAGTCGGTGTTCCAACGAGAAAAATTTTGAAGAACATTCTTATACCTTTCCAATTAAATTTAGCGATTTAGAGAATTAGAGAATGTTTACCCAAATACAATACGAAAAGTTTGCAGAGATATTTCGACGTATCTTGGTGAAATTTCCCGTTAGATACGGCAAAACGAAACAGTCCACATTCAACGCACTCACATTTGCATCGCGCTTATATTTACGTAAGGATCTACGCGTACGAGAAAATACAGAAACAGCAGCGTGATCGTGTCAATGTTTGTGTAAGGCAACATTTTGAGGATCGTTTCCGCGTTATCGAACCTTATCAAGTTCATTATCAACCGCGTCTCCTTCGAGTCAATACCGCTCACTCGAGAAATGAAAAGCGAGAGAGAGAACAATCGCGACCGCGCCGAAGATGGTATCACTCGATTTTCTACAACCGCCTTGGATGCTGTCTCGAAGATTACAAAGCTTCCATCGGGGCTCCCGGGGCTAAATGTACGTTTGAAAGCTGAGATTTCACTGTCGGGAGTGGCTGGCAGATCACAGAACCGCCGAGGCGGACATCATTAAGAGTTTCGCTTTGAATTCTTTGTGTCCGGCGAATGGTTTCGCCAGCCGCGCGACTCGCCCTCGCGGAATAAAACTTTGGGGGGAGGGATGATGTGTACCAAGCTTAAGCCACGGTCGCGAGCTGTGTGAGAGAGAGAGAGAGAGAGAGAAGGAGTGGGGGGAGCGAGTCTAGCGTGTAAAACGCCTGAAACTTGGAAAGCACGCTCGACGCTTCGAGCGTCAAACTCAAATTCGTTTAATTTTGTTGCTCCAGACAGTTTAAACATTGGAGCGCGCGCGCGCACGGTGTCAGGCCGCAACCGTGCTTCACCATTATCTTGTAACGCGCTTCGAAACGCTAAATGCGCTTTCGAAGTTCCAAATGCTTTACACGCTAGACTCGCTCTTCTCCCCCCCCCTCCCCCCTCCCAACCCCTTTCTCTCTTTCTCTAAGAGCACACGGTGTACAGATTTAAACGCGCTTAACGGCGTCGCGAGTGCGAGTTGACAATTTGCTAGTTTCGCATGCAAAGGCTCCACCGATATCGCGCTCGCGCAAAGTATCGCGAAACATTAATAGAAGCGGTAAGCTATTTTAAGAGTCTTGGACTGCTCGACGTGCGCGCTCGCTCGCTCGCACGCTCCTATCAAACTTGTCAAAGTAAAGCGTAAGGCTGAGGGGGAGGGGGGGGGGGAGGCAGGTGGGAAGGGAATCAAAGTAGCGTAATAGCGCGACGGGGAAAATCGGCTGAAAATTTCGCTGGAAATCGACGCGAGCGATAAGTCTCGCAGCACACCGGACGGATCTCACGCCGCGACGTTGCGATCGGAAATCGTTATCAGACACACCTGACATTCCGATGAATCCCGGATTAAGGTTCTAATTATCACGCGGAGTGACACGATTTCTTCAAACCTGATAATACAAACCTTCGATCCAACGAGCAGTTTCAAGGTCAAGCCGAGGTAGACGATGCGACGAATTTCTTAGTCGGACATCGACCGACGATACGGTTTTGCGAAAGCCGCGGAACTCGTCTCGCGGCCGGGACGGCCGACACGGTGGAACCGGCGAATTTCAAGGTGGACGCGTGTTTTTGCGCGTGTTTCAGTGGAGGAGCTGGAATGTCTGGCCACCTGGAAGGAGGGCAGCAGCCGTTACTTGGTCGGCCGTCTGCATCACGGCCACGCGTCCAGCAACGAAGATCGATACCGATGCTTCGTCTACGAGAAGGCCGGCCAGACGGTGCAGAGTAACCTGAACAGAGCGGCGATAGGCATGGGCGCTATGGATCACGAGGTCGCCCTGCCGGGCGGACCGGTGCCCGAGGGCTCCGCCGAGATATACCGGGTGGCACAGAGCGGCGACGCGACGTGCAACGGCCTGTTCAGCCCGATGGAGGGCTCGCGCACGATGACACTGAAGAAGGGTGAGTATCCCGTGTTGTCCCGACCGACCCTTCCCGGCCCGTTTAACCTTTTTCGCCCGACGTTTTTCAACGTTACTCTCCCCCCCCCCCTCTCCCTAACTGTATAATTCGGTACATCACTGCGGGGAATCACTCGCTCGCTGTTCTCGCAATTATTCACAGCGCGAGACACGGTGTCCGAAATAAATGTTCGGCCGGCGCGGAGGTAGTGCTTAGGTTAGGTCGTTGATTATCGTTGGGAATCAACTTATACGATATGACGCCGGCGCAATTCGCCGCTGGTTTTTTCTTTCACACGATTCGTCGTTTGATGTAATTAAGAGCGACGTGACGTTGAGCGAAGAGACGATGTTTAAGGATCGTGGAATATTTACACTGAGAGGGAAATGTTGATATGTGGAACTTCAATGGCATAGGTGGGAAATGTTAAATGGTTAATAAATAAGGTCTCAGATCAAGTAATTATTCGCTAACGCATTGAGAACAACGCAGTTAAAAAGAAATAACAAATTTCTTGTGAAAAATATGAATACGTATTTCTGTTGTAATAATATTTTGTAGTATTGTGTACGTTTCATATATATATATATATATATTTTTTTTTCGTTTTAGTTTATGACAACCATAAAATATAGTTATATGAATGTCACAGCTGTTATGATTATAAATCCGAGTTTACTTTGCTGTATTTTGTATGTTTAAACGTCTAATTGACGCCAAAATTGACTATAAAACATTATATTTACTCCAACTATGTACATACACATATATATAATATATATATATATATTTTTTTTTTCTCTCAGTGTAACGAGCTTTTTACGTTTTGAAGCGAAATGACGAGACAAACTATGATACATTAAAAAGACAAATTTATAAAAATATTATTATTACAACAAAAGCGATGTCTTAGTTATTGCCGAGCGATTACAGCTGGACGCGACAATAATATTCCCTCTCTCTGCGCGCATGCGCGGCAAGGCAGGATATTCAACGGAGCGGAGAAGTTAGCGACGATCAGGAAAGCTGTTAATTGTCATGAGATATCGCACGGTAATAAATCGCATCAGCGGATCGTGCCTTCCGTCTAGTTGCGCGATTCATCATCGTTAAAATTTTTCCATTTGTACCGCTCTCGTAGATTTTAATTATTACAGTGTAAATACGTGCTTGACGAGGATTCCCGTCGGGACACGGCGGCGTTTCAATTTATCGTTATTTTCCGGCCGGCCGGATTTTCGAGATTTTTCATACGACCGACGCGCGAGCGCGGATCGACCCGAACAACGACGGACGTTGTTGCGTCTCTGACGGCGTTTGCATAACGATCGCAGTCGCGTAACATCTTAAGTGGAATGCGCCCGCAGCACTCAACAATATTAAATTATAACTTGCAAAATGCCAGTGCCGGAAACGCGCCACAGTCACCGCGGCCGCGCGGTTAATGTAAATGTATACTTGAAAGAATTGCTAATCAACGTGCCGTACGGGTTTTTCGTTCCATGAATAAGAAGAGCGTGTTTGCGCGACGTCTACACCGACTGTCCTATCTCTCCCGACCCTCTCGCCCTCTCCCCTCCCCCCTATCACTCTCTTTCTCTCTCGCGTGCGCGCATTTCCGTCTTATTCGCTTTTCATCTCGAGCTCGCAATCCCATCTCGCTTCGTTAATGGATTCATATATAATTACCGGGCTTCACGCTCGCGCATTACGCTTGATAAATATCATCGCAAAGGGGAAGGATATGAAAATTCCCGACCGATGAAACCGGCCGGGCTAGGCTTCAACAGCGCGCCGCGAAACCGTTCCCTCGCTCGTTCGCCGATCGCGTTCTCATCCTCCACCTGTACCTCCTCCTCTTGCTCCTCCATCAGCAGCACCGCCACCAGCTTCGTTCGAAGGCCCGACCGGCCGACGGACGGACGGACCGTACGGTTTTTCCGTCTCGCGATTTCCACGGAGCGCGGAATTTCCGCCGCGCCGGGAGATAAATAACGTTGGATTAAACAACCATCGTAATGCCCGCTCTCCCGCATCCCCGAAGTCTTTTGATCCGAAATGTACACAGATATTTCATGGTCGTAAATATCTCATGTTTCCTTAATTTCACCGCTTCAACCCGCCCCGGCTGGGATCGATGCGATACTCCGGCGTAATGAATTGCGGCCGTGATGTTATCGCGATATATCCGTAGAAATTATCGAACGAGGACAAAAGCGAGCGGCGCGGGAGGGGTGATAAACAGGATTCGGACGCGCCTCGCCTGTATCTGAGGATCGCTAAAATCAGATACGTATCGCTGCACGCCGCACCATCGCGCACAGTCGTATCTATCCGTGACAATGAGACCGACTGCAAAAAGTAACTAATCTCCAGTCCCCCGATTGTCATGTACGATTGTTACGTAACAGTCGATCTGGCCTGTCACTTGACGCGTGACGTTCGTATCGTGGTATCGCGTGAGCCGATCCGAAACGCGCGTCGTGTCGTAGTATCGAGCGAACGCGCAGCCTGACGATTATGCCGTGCTCGTCAGATTAATATAAGACGGATGCTAATTATTTACGAACAGAGGAAAAGCACCAAAACCGATGTACCACCTTACACTCTAAAGCCCTGTTGAAGGTGCAGAATTAATATGTATGCGCATAGCTGCAAAACGACAGTATTTCTCTGCCGAAATACATTGTAGTTTTTTTGAAAATTATTATATATTGTGTTGCAAGTAACTGTTTGTGAAAAAGTTGTAGAAATGACGCTTCAATAAAATATATATAAAATCATATTCATGGTCATGTTCTGCTAGAAAATTGTCAAAAAATGTAATAAAAGCACTGGAATTATATTATTTTACACATTTGTTTATATCCTCTCACGAAGAGATATTGTGATACTATGAACGTATCGACATTAATGTTAAAACGGGTATCTAATCAAGAGTATCAATATCATTAGTGATACCAGTATCAGAACAAAAATATCGATACTGGTATTGAAACTTGAAAAACTTAAAATTAGGAGAAATAAAAAATTATGATATAAAGATGTCCCACCTTTTGCATTAGACTCTTTACGGTTTGTGATCTAAAAACTTTAAAAAGGATATGTTTAAAACTTCTGTCAAAAATGACTATTGTGATATATTAAGGTAAATTATATCACGGTATAAGTGAAAGTAAAATAATATACGCACAAAATGACACTCGCGATCGACTCCGTAAATTTGCTAAAATCTCCGGACGCTTTTCTCTTTTACTAACAATCAATAAATAACCGTAAAATTAACGTAACAGAAATCATGAAAAAAGATACGTTTAAAACGTTGCATATTACATTAATTTTCAGGAAATAAAAATACGTGATATCTAGAAGATCGACTGTGTAAAGCATAAAAGAAGATATCGAAGAGATATCGAAAGTATTGATATACAATAGTACTGATATGAATACAAATATCGAAAGAAAGCCTCGATACAAAAATATCCGGTATTGAAAGAGAAATATCAATACCAGTATCATATGTATATCAGTAGTGTCAATTTTTTTTACATGTTATTTTTAACTTTACGAATTTTTTATTTTATGGAAAAGGATTATCTCTTACTTTTTCTTACCGACCATCTTTTAAACAAACAAACAAGAAAAACGAAGAAAAATCAGAAACTTTAGTTGTATTCTGTGAGATGATTTTGTGACAAAGTTCAAATATGTCGATTGAAAAACCAATAATCTCAGGTGTGTCGGTCCATAGAACAATCTAATTTTCCTCGCGTGATTCAGCGATAAGAGATAAAAATTGGCACAAGATCCAAAGTGCCGTAAGAAGTTCAAAACTTACACTATAAAATAGTATTGTCTGATAAATTGTTTACTGCTGATTTATTACTTAAAAATTTATAAGAAGATAGCTCGAAAAGAACTTCAGCGCATCGAAAAATCCACCCCGAGAATAATGAGCGATCGACAAAATCGGCAGTCATCCGCATTCAGACAAATATCGTGTCCACTGAACAAATTACATGTTGACGCAACAATATTATGCATTGATACCGTTGCTGATCGAATCGTTAAATCATTAAATCAATTGATAATTTGATAATTTACTACAGCGACTTATGTAATAATTTATTCAGTGGACTCACTGCGATTGAATCAGTTTTGTTCATTTAAGACAAATTTCGTGGATTCTGCCGTTAATTCTTCTCAGTCTGCTAACGGTAATAACGTAAGCAAACGCGCTTGCAACCTGAAACTACCACTTCTGTTCCACCTGCACTCAGTAGACGAAGTTCATGTGCTGTGCGGCGGAGTTCGGCACTTTATAACCGAGAAACATGGATATGTCTATTTTCCATACCTATGTCTGCTTTGACGCTTTTCCTCTGTAATTTGAATCGCAGACGGAGAGGCGAGCGATGCGCTATCACCGGCACGCATCCCGCAATATTAACGCTTCTGTTTATTGCGCGTTGGCAATTGGCGCGTCTCGGGAGTTTTGTATGAAAACGACGACGCGTTAGGATACATACTGCATGTGTCGTTAATAACAGTTCGCTGGAAAAACCAGCGTATCCGCTGGAAAAAACAAAGCCGCGACTAAATCGCAAGGGCACGCGCGAGCGCGCGCGCACGCACGCGACCGTCGGTAATTACTTAACTTTATTAACGCTATCGTTCGGAATAGAATGGCGCGTAACGACGTGATAATACGGCGTATCGTGTGCCGTAAGTGCGGCGATAAAATCGGAGTGTCCGAGCACACCGAGGTGACGATACATCGCGAGACAACCTCCCGTCCGTCTCTTTCAGCTCGTTCCCCGGGGGACCCGGAGCTGCGTACTCGCGTTGAAAATTGAGTTTGATCGGATCTATCTGACAATAAAAAATTAAACGCCCTTTAGTTGGAAGGAAACGAAATTTCCAGTTCTCAGGTTACCCTCGCAACAAAATACCTCACCCGTTTTTACTCTTCGTGCGGCCCGTTTCTGACCCGTTTTTAG